ATAAATCAGGCTTTGAGACTTTACACATTTAAAAAATCTTGCCAACCCTAAATCTTTTTAAAAATCCTTTAAAAAAAAATTTACATTTAACTCTGAAACACGTTAATATCAACGGACAACTCACCATAGGGAATGTTCAGTCGAACCTGCTCCTTGCGGTAGCCTTCCAATGCGGCCGCCCAGCGGGTCACCTGCTCTGAAGTCTCATCAGGAATGGAGGCTCGCTCCACTGCAATCACATGTCCGTCCTCCACCAGATGGGCTTCCTCGCCAGCAGCCGCGTCTGGATCGATCACCACCTCCACAGTCTCCACTGGTTTCACGATCTCCAGAATATTCAATTTCTCTTCACCTAAAACAGACCACACACCCACAAGCAGGTCAAGTATTTGTTTTTGGGTTTTTTTATTGCTATAAATGGGTAGTTGTCTTTTTGCCTTCACTAGTTCAATGTAAATGGTCCTTTCAGAATTTTTTAAAGTACAAATATTCATGTAGCCTCTCAATCAATAATATGGGCTCTGCAAAGCTGCATGCATAATTATAAAATAATTAGCAAAGTGCTCACACCGCAGGACACATCAACTAACCAAATATTTTCAGTTGTCTGAAGGGCATGTTGACAAGTTCAGATTTGTCCAACAGCAATACAAGATCATTGTAAACTGTTACCCTGTTTCGTGACAATCTGCACGCTGAGCTGTACTGTGCCATCTGTCTTCACTCCTTGATCGAACAGGCTGTGATCAGGATGCAGCTACATGACGAAAGGAGCGGAGACAGGGAGTGAAGAGCTCAGCCAATAAATACAATGAGTGTGCTCAAATAAGTTTAAATTAATACAGAAGCACATACTAGGATGTCCTGCAGACAAATGTCATATCCATCCAGCGGGACCTGAAGACGAGGCTCCAGTAACTTCTTTAGGTTACCGATCGGCTCATTGATGTCAATGTCTTGAGTAATCAGTTCAGCTGCTGTGATCGTTTGCTCCTCAATCCTGACATTTGGTCACAAAAAAAAAACAGATAATTTCACAGGCACAAGATACACATTGCACAATGAGATGACTCCTCAAAACATATCACATAAAGAGGAAAAAAGGATGAGAAAGATAGAAAAATCACTTACCCTTCCTCTAAACACTCTTGTTTCTCCCGTCCATCAATCTCAATTTCAATCATCTCCTCTGTCTCACTTTTTGACATCCCTACAACTCCTTGTCCAACTATGAAGCAAATGCATTTTTATTTAAAAAAAAAATATATATATATATATATATATATATATATATATATATATATATATTGCAATTAATTTAATCACAAGAAAGCATACAATTATCAGTAACACTTTACAATAAGGCCTCCTTTGTTAATATTAATTAATGCATTAGCTAACATGAACTAACAACACACATTTGATTTTTTTAGTGTGTATTGGTCTTTGTTAAAGTTAAAGTAGTTAATCAAAATACAATTGTTTATTTTTTTCCTGTTAGTTAACATATGTATTAGCAAACATTGACTAAGATTAATAAATGCTGCAGTGTAGAAGTTTTCATCGTTGTTAGTTTATGGTAACTAACGGTAACAAATAAAATTTTATTGTGTAAGTGTAACCAAATTATCTAATACTAATAATCTTGTAAATAAACGTTTATTTAAAATAATTTCTACCATTTTAATGAACAGTTAGGTTATATAAAACATCTAAATGTGAGCCAAAATGCACTAAATGGTCAGCTTAACGCACTCAGGCTGTCAAAGAAGTCTCTGAAGTCTCATAAACTCTCACGCAACACCGAGGCTTTGCTAGAGTAGAGGCCCACCATGACATTTTCACTGCATTAGCACTCTTATTAAACACAAGAGACCGCACGTATTATTAAATATACCATTCATTTGATCAATCCCATTTTTATTTTAGTGTGTAGATTTAAACGCAATATTTTATTAATATAATTTCCACCAGCGACTGGGTGGGAAGACGACGCGCGAATCCATACAAACGCAGTTGCCATGTTGGAATGCTTTTGGGTTTCGTAATATAACCGCAGAATTGGGCGTAAAAGACGACTTTTTAAAACTTCTGAAACTTTCAGGGGTAGCTACACATCAAGACTTTTGATTCTGGAAAGTTAAAACGGAAATGGAAGAAACGGAAACAAAACAAGAGAAGGGCAGATGTAAAAGCAGCCGGAAATCCTGGCCGAAGTCACGGCGGCTGACAAGACTTCCGAAAACAGCCGTGCGACTGAAGAAACGAACGGAAACATCACGGTGTTTAATTATGCGGAATATAATATCTACGAAAGGTACAATCATGAATGGAATATGTATGTATACCTGGCCTCTTTGTTAGCTGCTTAGCGTATGCTGACGAAAGACAGAGAGACACGCCTGGTTGAACTGAATATATGCTCACGCGAACAGCTCGCGCTAACTTTTACCAAAACTCGCGCATCTGTTTTTTACGACCGAGTTATATACCTAAACAACATCTCTCGGTAAAATAGATATATTTTAAAATATCCAGAATAAAATATACTGATATTTTTACCTACTGTTTGTCGGGTGTGAGAGGGCTGGGTTATTGTCAGTTCTGTTAGCACTCCAGCTAGCTCTGTCTGTTTCCCCTCAGGATGCTAACAGTTAACGTTAGCTCACGCAGAAAGCGGGAAAACTGACACGCTTATAACCTCACACACTTGTAACATTCTTATTTCTGTCCGCGTTTATCTCAGATAAATTAGTATCGCGGCCCAACGTACCTCTTTATCCCGTTCAGTAAGTGCTGTGTTGGAGTTTTTTCGGACTAAAGCTGTGTGTCAAGGGCTATAGTTTAGTGTGTGTGCTAATAAGTTGAGCGAATGTTCATGCTGGTTTTTGGTCAACATTGCATTGGGGGCGGGGATGAGCTGGAGGCCTCGCTGCCCACTGACAGCAACATGTACACCCCACTCTGTGCAGTTTTTCCACAATATGTCATAATACATATGGGTATTATTTGATTAGTTATACTAAATAGTCAGTCAGCAGCAGATTTAGAAGGTGTTGACTTTCTCAGTGTCCGAAGTGTGAAAATCGACGCGGTTATTATTGGATAAGTTACTTGTAAATTTATATTTATACAGTTGTGTACATTGCATAATGTGCACATCTGGAAATCAGCCTTCTGTTTACTCCATCTTTATGTAGCCTATAGCAGTGGTTCTCAAACCTGTCCTGGAGGACCCCCAAGGACAGGTTTAAGAACCACTGGCCTAGTACTGTTTTTTTTTTAGGGATTTATTTTATTCTTAATCCTATTTATTTAATTGTTGTCTATTCTCTTGCGTTATGCACGTATGTTCTCGAGTGCTCCTGGAAACCACAACACATTCCTTGTTTGTGTGTGCATATTTGGCGAATAAAGCACATTATATTTTAAAGTGTTTTGAATTCTTTCACAAGCTGATTGATACTAACGTTACAGTCCTGTGACACTTCAAGTAAATGTTCCCAGCAAAGAAATGTCTCACCCTGTTGTATAAAACTGATTTTGGATGTGACTTTTATCGATGCCTTGAAACCAATGATTAAATAAACAACTTGGAAAACTGATCTGTGCATTTCTTTATTTAACAGTGAAAGTGTATACTAAAGTCATTTATTCTGAGTACAAAGAGGAATAGATATTGCAGTGAAGTCTGAATTTTGCATTTGCTTCATTTTACATAACAGATAATGTAACAAATGACCAAAAAACCATCTAGTTTTTAGTGACATTGTTGGTTCATTTGAGCCACAAATCAGCTAAACCAAACAGTTAAATAAACTCAAACACATTGTTTAACTCTGTCTAGATGTTAAAGGGATAGTGTAGTGTTGTCTATGGTGGATTGATTGTTTTGTTTTCACTATGCATGTCTAGTGAAAAGTGTTCGATTGGTTAAAACTGCTTCTGTTATTAAAAGAGAAGTGTGCAGACCTGAGAAAACGAAAAGCAAAAAGTTGCTGAAAGGAATTTTCTGTCTCTTGGCTTTCTGTGCACGCTACAAATAGTTCACCCCCCAAAAAATGAAAATTCTGTCATCATGTAGCCTCACTTTTATTGTTCCAGGCAAATTTGACTTTGTTTCTTCTGTGGAATGTAAAAGAAGATATTCTGAGAAATGTCTCGGTTGTTTGTCCATACAGTGAAAGCCAGTTCTTCAAAATATCTTCTTTTTTGATTATATCTTCTTTTTTAATTAACAGAAAAAAAATAGTCATACAGGTTTTTGAATGACATGACAGTAAATGTCTCTCTCTCTCTCTCTCTCTCTCTCTCTCTCTCTCTCTCTCGTCATCTCATCTCCATCTCGATCTGCATCTCTCGAGTAACTCTCGTCTCTCTCTTCTCCTCCTCTCCTGCCTCTCTCTCTTCTCACTCTCTCTCTCATCTCTCTCTCTCTCTCTCATCTCCTCTCTCTCTTCTCCTCTCTCCTCTCCTCTCTTCTCTCTTCTCTCATCCTCTCTCTCTTATCTCTCTCTCTCTCTCTTCTCTCCTCTCTCTCTCTTCTCTCTCTCTCTCTCTCTCTCTCTCTCTCTCTCTCTCTCTCTCTCTCTCTCTCTCTCTCTCTCCTCTCTCTCATAGAGAAATACCTATCATCAGACAACTGATGACACTTATTGAAACATGAAAAAAACAAGGCAAGGTAACTGTGATTAAAATTCAACTGAACATTGATAGTATGATGATTAATAGACTTTAGAGACATCCTGAGACAAGTCAAGCTTGTTTCCGCTCAAATCAAGTGGACCATCACATCTGTAGTTGGGCCTTTATGCTCAGTGGCTTGGTGATTGAAACCATTGTAACCTGCGTTGGACAAATCTGGCATAAAATAGTGCAACATTTTTACAGTATCTATAAACACTAGCTAGTCCAAATAATATTACAATAATACGCAGTATCCAAAAAAAAGGCTTTTTACAGTAGTAAAAGAGTAACAGCAGATGTCATGTTGCTTGTGGATTGTTCCACTGTAATCAATTCTCACCACCAGGGGGCGTGTTTCTGCTCTCATGGCCCATAAGAGCAAAGCAGAGATATAGAGGCTTATTTGATGTAATATTTAATTCTCTAGCCTTTGAGGTCAATTGAATTCACTTCTGTAAGCATGAAGCTGTCCAAAATGTGCACACTCTTCAAAGCACAAAGGATTGGGTATGTTTGTAGCGTCTCGGCTGAGGAGAGAGATGAACATTCTGATGAAGACCAGCCATTATTTTAAACAGAAGCCTCTACAGTGTCATTACTGTACCTTTTGACTATTAAGTTATAAATAGGAAACTTAAAGACTTACATCTGTTGGAGGGTTACAGCTGGTCTTTGTTCTGCTGAAAAGTGAAGAGAAATAACCACTTTGTTTCAAATGGTCTGTTATGTTTTATTCTTATTAGAGTGCATTAAAAAGCACTGCAAAAGACTTACCTGTGTATTGTCTCTCCTTTACTCTCTGTTGGTAAATGCAAGACTTATGTTAGTAGATGAAGACAAGACACATTTCGGTTCATAAACAGGTATAGTAAGTTCAACCAACAGCCCATATACTGTTTTGAATGGAGTATCACTCACTGCGGCAGCGTCGACAGCACCCTCGTCTGCAGCACAGACAGATGGACACACAGCACGAGAGAAGCAACAGGAACGCTCCCACTTCTAATGCTATAACTATTGTCATGTTGAGCTCAACTGCAACAGAGCATGTCAAACAGATATGCAATGGGGTCATATGGGCATTAATCATAAAAGGGTTTAATCTGGCATATGGTCATGTTACATTTGTACTATGGGGCATGTTGTCACATTTCACTTCCATTCTTGTGGGGTAAATCAAGAAAAAAGTATACACCGTATTAATGAAACAAATTCACATAATTGTACTAGACGTGTGAAATTAATGTGGGAAAAAAATTCATTCTCTGAACCCCAAGTGGATTTATACAAACTAAGAAAGTCAAAAAAGTGTTAGGTTGTGCCCCGCTCTCCCCTACACTACAATATGTTTTTGCTGGGGTAAAAATGATCCCAAACTCCACTATTCAAAAAATAGTAAAAAAACGTAATATTGTGAAATATTATATATTACATTTCGAATTTCAAATGTAATTTATCCTTGTGATGGCAAATCTGAATTCTCAGCAGCCATTACTCCAACTTCCAATATTTCAATATGCTTATTTGGTGCTCAAGAAATATTTCGTATTATTGCCAATGGTCCGTGTAACGCTTTGCAGTTCTTTGTTCAATTTGCACCATCAAAATTAACCAAATGAAAAATTGGCTTCGAACTTTCATTTTCCATTTTTTAAAAATAATTCACAAACGGATAATTGTCTCTCAGTTTAATTTTCAATTCTACAAGCTTGGGTTGTTGCGTCCGAGTCTGGTTTTTGAACAAACATAAAAAAACGACTCATTGCTCTGATTTTCCATTTCTCTGTGTTTTGCTCGCGGTTGGACCGTACCAGTTCCGCGGGGGGTGGAGCGGGGGGTGCACGTGGATGCATTTACGTAGAGCGCTGTAGCGTTATGTAGGGTAGACTGAGTACAGAACACTTTTTGCGTTTTGATTTTTCACACAAAAATAGATAATGAAAAGAAGTGAATTTCTACATGGCATGCCACATTACATTTCATTAGCTTGTAGACTAAGATATTATCAATCAATAATACCCATAAGTAGTTTATATTTTCCACAATTAGCTCATAAAAATAAGGTGCTTTTTGTCTCAACTTTGTCTCAACTTTACCCATATGTGGTACAGTTGAGACAGTAGCCTACCATGGTACAGTTGAGACACCCATTTTTAATGATGTAAAAGGTAACTAAATGTTCATTGCAAATATAATAAATAAAGACAAATAAAGAAAAAAATCAATTGGGCAACATGTTTATTTATTCATCCATTTTACTAAAAGCCAGACGATTTTGTCTTTAAAAATCATCTGCTATGTAGTGACCTTTAATGTGGAGTATAAACAGGTGGAGTCACTTTATTGCATCAGACATGTGTCACTTTGCTCACTGCTGATTGGTCCAAGTTCGGTTTGCAACCTCTTACCTGCAACATAACCTGCCCTGGACCATGTTAGCCGTGGAGCATAAGTTACTATGGCGATATACACTGCTAAAAGCCAAACCACTTTCATGGTGCCTAAAACCCAGGGTTGGCGCAAACTAAGCTAAAACATACCTGGCTAGCCACCTAAACCGGCTTCATGGTATAGACCCCTGGTTGAGGATGGCCGCCGCTTATCCTTCTCTCCCGCACCTTTTTGCCGTTTTTGTTTCCTTATGCTCGACACCTCATATCTTGTTGCATACATTGGTAACACTTTACAATACGGGTGCACTAATAAGCATTAATTCATGTTTAACTAATGCACAGATAATACTGAATTAATGTGTAACTAATGATTATCTAAGCTATTCATTAATGATTACCACATTAGGAACTAATTAAGAGTCTGTATGGTTAATGTATTAGTTCATACATGAATTGTTATTAATTAAATATGTAATTGTGAATTAATTCCCTAATAACTTTTTTAACTAATAGTGTTAATTAATATGTTAATTACCAGAATGAGCCAAAGCCTTGTATTTCAACTTCCAGATAATACAGGTACACTAATATGCATTAATACATGATTAATTACTTCATTGTTAGTGCAAATTCATGTGTAAATTACTACAATTACTAAATGAGTTAATAATGATGTGCCTCAACAAGTAAAGTCATAACATAATAATACCTTTGCAAATCTTTAGCTAATGATTAATTAAAGCAGACAACTGGAAGTTGAAGTGCATAGCTTTGACTAATTGTGGTAATTAACACATTAATTTACACTATTAGTTAATAAAATATGTTATTAAGGAATTAATACACAATGACACATTGAATTAATAGCAATTCATGTATTACTTAATCTATTAATCATATAGACTCTTTATTAGTTGCTGATGCAGTAATCATTAATTAATGGTTTAGTTCTTCATGAATCATACATTAACTCATGATTATCTGTGCATTAGTTAAACATGAATTAATGCATATTAGTGCACCCGTATTGTAAAGTGTTACCCATACATTTTTATTTCTCAACCTAACATCTATACTGACTTTATTTAACTGACGTTGTTCATTCTTTATCTTTAATAAATATATTTCTTTATATGAAAATTCCACATGGTCTTCCCTCTCTTTTTACATAGCCTAGAATAGGCAGGATGTAACAACACAAGTAGGCTACTACAGAGGCCTGTAGGCCTATCATGTTTCCCAATTATGATTGAGTGCGGTATGTCCTATACAAATACGAGAAATTACTGTATCTTCTCTTCTATTTCCACACACCATTCTCTCCCTTTGTAATCTATACAAGCTTGTCTATAGGCTACCTTTTTCCTCTGTATCCCACATTTCTTGCCACATTCCTTTTATTGCTCTTTTTATTAACCCTTTGATTTCAAATTGTGCAATGTTTAACCTTTTGTTTCTCGCTCTTTATCCCCCTATTTCTTTCATAAATCCTCTTTCTTAAATATATATATCATATTTATATATTATTTTCTTTCATTCTGTTTTGAATGTTATAAATATTTAATATTTCACTCTGCTTAGAGCAGGTGTACGTCTCCTGGTGGGTCTCTGCAGACTGCAGAGTTTTGCTCCAACCCCTATTAAACACACCTGAACCAGATAATCAAGCTCTTCAGGGATTATAGAAACTTCCAGGCTGGGGTTAGCTGGTTGGAGATATGGGATGCAGTCGTGGCCTAATGGTTTGAGACTCGGACTTGTAACCCAAGGGTGGTTTGAGTCTCAGTACTGTCATGACCAGGCTCAAAAGGCCATGACAAAAACTGGGAAAGGACTCAGCGATCGATTTAGCAAGGTTTATTGTAACGTGACATAATCAGAACAATACCTGAATGATAAGATGGGTTAGTCAGCAACCTCAGTTGTGTAAGTGTGGATGAGTGATCGTGGTGTAAAGTGTTGTTGAAGTGTTAAAATAAAACAAAACAAACAAATCCAGAACAACAGGCGACTGCTGGTAACGAGGATCAGAGAGACCCCGACGATCTTGGAGGTGGAGCTTTTATCTCCTGTGGAGCACTAGGACCAGGTGTTCACAATCGGGAAGGACCTCTGCAATCAGCTCCTCAAAACAGAAAAACACATCACCCTTGCAGTACTGACAAACATACACAGTCCAGCCACACAGGGGCGTCACACCCCCCCCCTTAAAGTCGGTGTCCCAAAGGGAATCACCGGCCCACTAACTTACTCAAAATCACCTATCACACCATGTACCTTACTTAATTCAGCAATTACTTACAATAACAAAAAATATGAACATACACCTGACTTCCCTCTGCGCATGGCCCGCTATGACTCCCACCCATTCTTCAGCAACCTGGTACCTAGGAAGCAAATTTAAGAAAAACAGGCAGAGCAAAGCAAATCATCCGACAGCACAAATGTCATAGTACATTCAAATAATAGGGGCACGTGATAGAGCATCTGCTATGACGTTGTCTGCCCCTTTAATATGCCGAATGTCAAGGTCATAGGCCTGCAAAAACAACGACCACCTCATAAGTCTTTGATTTGGACACTTGAATGACTGTAAAAATGTTAAAGGGTTATGGTCTGTGTATACAATGAGTGGAGCACCTCCTATGTACACCTGAAAATGCTGTAGTGCCCAAATAAGTGCAAGTGCTTCCTTCTCTATTACCGAGTAATTAAACTGGTAACGGTTAAACTTCTTGGAAAAAAAACTAACTGGTCTTACCACCCCCTGATCATCCTCCTGAAGCAATACAGCACCTGCTCCGACCTGGCTGGCATCTACCTGGAGCATAAAGTTTTTATCAAAACATGGGGCTGCTAGCACGGGAGACGAGCACAACAGAGACTTGATACTATCAAAAGCTTGCTGACATGCAAAGGACCAAACAAACTTCACCCTGGCCTTCAACAGCTCCGTTAACGGAAACGCCACAGTAGAAAAGTTCTTGCAGAAACTCCTATAGTAACCTACCAGACCCAGAAAACGCTGCAATTCCTTTTTTGTTGTAGGCTGAGGATACCTCTCCACTGCCCTCACCTTATCTTGAACTGGAGCCACCCGGCCCTGTCCCACTACGCGCCCCAAATATGTCACAGTAGCCCTAGCAAAGTCACACTTAGCCAAATTAATGGTAAGATGCGCCTCAGCCAGCCTTTCAAACAAAGCCCGGATACGCTGAAGGTGAGAGTGCCATGTATCACTGTAAACGACTAGGTCATCCAGATAAACGGCACAACCCTTCAAACCAGACACAACACGATTCATAAGGCGCTGAAACGTTGCTGGAGCGTTTCTTAAACCGAATGCCATCACTCTATAGGAATAGAGTCCCGACGGCGTAATGAATGCAGATATCTCCTGAGCACGCTGAGACAAAGGCACCTGCCAATACCCTTTAAGTAGGTCAAACTTGCTGACAAACCTGGCAGACCCCACCTGATCTACACAGTCATCCATCCTTGGCAGCGGAAAGCAGTCGGGTTTTGTTACAGAATTCACCTTTCTAAAATCTGTACAAAACCTAGGTGTTCTATCTACCTTGGGAACCAAAATACAAGGGGATGACCAACTTGAAAATGATGGTACAGCAATACTGTTTTTAA